TGAACTCACGCGCAATTAAATCCAAATTCCTTAACCACTCAGAATTAAATGTGTTTATCTTTCAGAAAAGTGTATTTTTCCTTTGGATGACTACAAATTCAAATTATATTTTTGGTTTTTGTTATTGTGAAATAATTTATTAAAATATGAGATGGTCATAAAGTTCTTGTGCAATTTAAAATTCCATAAGACCTTTATGGCCAACCTGTATAAACCAATTTTTCAATACTCTTTTAATTTCCTAGAGTGAAAGTTCAATTTATTTCAATTAAATAAAATTGATTTTGAAAATTATCATAATTTAGGGGTTTAGAATCTTCATACAGCATGAACAATTATAGTACTTTATTTTTATGTGTAACTCAAATATAAAAGAAAAAAATTGTATCTTTAACATCTAATAATATTCTGGTAAACTATTTACCTTGAATCTGGTCTTTCAGCAATTTTAATTTCACTTTTCCGGCAGAAACCTGTATTCATAAAACAGATAATATTTGTCAGGTATACAATCTCTTACTCAACAAAAGTTTAATTAGGTTATTAACAAAAATATTAGAAGACTGTACCATATTTTGGTGTATCTTGAACAAAATTGTTTTTGAAAGACTGATCTAAATTAATAGGAGATCATCATTAAAGCCTCTATAGACCTTTTAAGAAATTGTAAAGAGAAATTTATAGAAAGGAAAATAAATTTTGGAAATATATATGAACCGGTTTTTCAAAACCATAAATTATTTTTAAACAAAAGCCATATGTCATCACAAAATGATTTTGAGGAAAAAAAAGTGCTAGTATTCCAACACTGTAAAGGTTCAATAATTCTTTCCCAAATTTCTGCTCTTCCTCAAACACACAAAGTCTAATATTTGTATAGACTAAATCCACACTGAACTGTGACTGAGCAATTCTGATCACACAGCTGTTGGAACCAACAGCATTATCTTATTTGCCCACTACAGAGAAACACGCGTGAGCGTCACAGACCCACTGACCTTCAGATATAGTATTTGTGGTCCTTGATTTCCCTGTGTTGCAGACCCTCCCCCAGAAAGAGTAAATAAGATCCACTACTAGGCATTTCAAATAGATAATCACTTAAAATCCTTGCATCTTAACATTGTGGGAGATGAAGCAGACTTCCACTTGAATAGACTTGCGCTGATCTTATTGAAGGCAACGTTTACCGTGCACACAGGAGCGTGGAGGACGGTGCACACTGATGTCCACACTGTCAACTCCTGCCTAGTTTTCAATTTGCAATTTGCAAGCTCAATTGCCTGATTTGTACTTGAGAGTGTGAGAACAATGGCTGCCTCTCTCTCTGTGGCCGTAACAACCGCAGTCATCTTTGGAAATTCAGGCCTAATTATTCTCAGTGAATTTGGCTGGTGGCTTTGCTGCAGAGGGGCACTTACTGTTCACATGCTCTGAAGTAGCTGGCCAGATGCTGCGTACCAAACACGGCAGAGAGAAAATAGGATGGAAGTAATCAGTTTTTATATGAGTCACATTTTTATTTTTAAACTGGTAATGTTATACAAGTTACAGATAATTTAATTTCATTTTTCATATCCAAATGACCCAGTATGATTACCTCAATGCTACATCGGAATGGAAACCTCACCAGTGCGGTTGTAGGCTGCCCTGGACAGCACGGGCAGACAGGCCAAGGCAAAATGAGCCCGATATTAGGAAATGTTTATGGTTTGTTTTTATTACTGTGAATATTTGTCTGCTGCATGAATATCACCCTATTTACTTCAAATGATTCAAACTGCATAAAATATTTCAATGAAACAATTCCTGGCTGCTATTTTTAGACAAACAGAATTTTCTGAGAAGTCTGATTTTTTTGTCTGGGAAAGGTTTGGGAGGTAGAGTAAGTTTGGACCAAGTCTGCACATATGTGCACACACACATACAGATCTCTGCACATGTGTGTATGTGTGTGTATCCAAAACATCACAGACCTGACAGACTTAAACCTTATTAACCCACTTCTGCCTTCACCAGCAGGTGTCAAAGGGAGGCTGTCAGGGCCAGGACAGCTCCATGGGTCCAGCCCACGTCTGAGCCAGTGGGGTCAGACTACAGCTGCAGTCAGGTTCCGGCCTTCCCCAGTGTCTCCGGACTCTCACCAGCGCCGTTACTGCCACGCTGGGCCCAAACTGCCCCTACAAGCCACTTCCACAGACACTCACATTCTCAG